GGAAAGCTGGAAGCCTGGTGAGAACGCAGTAATTCACTACCTTTGTCTTTGTTCTTATATTTAGAGGAAGGGCAAGGGATAGAGCTTCTCAAATGGGGTGTTTGGGAAGGGGTGGGGTGTTTGGAAAGGGGTGGGGTATTTGGGGTGGATGCAGTGAGGAAGGAGCACTACAGGCTATTAGTGAGCAGGAGAAAGTGTTGCTGACTGTCCTTTAGTGTGTGAGAGTTTTCTCCAGTGAAGAAATTTCCCGCCCCAAATGCCAGTAAAGGGAAGTGCCACAGAGGAGCCGCAGGGCTTGGCTGTCCCTGAAGGTCGACCCCGTCATGGGGATCTGCCCACTTGGCCTTCACGGTAGTCTGAGCCCAGAGAGGCTAGATACAGTCTTCCATTTTTGGTTCAAAGCGGTCTTACCATCCATTCATCCATCTGTCCATCCATCCATCCATGCATTCATCCTTTCAGTACTCCTTCGGTGAAGGGTCTCATGGCCACCTCTGCCCCCCTCCTTCTCCCTCAGTGATACTGTCACGTTGTCTGCTCTACTGAACTTCATTGCCTCTCTGAACCGACTCGTTCAGTAGCAGTGACAAGTTCTTATGCCAGTGAGAATAGAGAAGGGGGAAGGCATTTAGTGGAAGGAGGTAGAGAAGAGAGGAAGAAGAGTGCAAAAGATGTTTTATAATTTGTCCAGGTGTGCGAATAGGCGCCCGAGTTGTTAACCCCAGAAAAGGGATTTGGTTAATGCTAATGGAATCCCTCCTACATCTAGGTTGGTGGCTCTCAAACTTGAACGTACACCAGGATCCCCTGGAGGGTGTGTTCAGACAGAAGCTGCTGGGCACCATCCCCAGACTTTGCGATTGAGAAAGGCTGGGGCGGGGCCTGGGAATTTGACTTCCTAACAAAGTTCCCAGGTGAGGCTAGTGCCGCAGGTCTGGGAACCTTACTTCTCTAGGTCTGGGTCCTAGAGAAGAGAGAGACACCTGAACAGCTCTCATCTCTGGGACGCCTGGAAGACCAGGCTGAGAAGGGAGGAACTGGCCTCACTCTAGACCTTCCTTAAGGCCCATGAGGAAGAAGAAAGGAGTTAAGGTCTAGCATCCCCAGAAGATGAGTGCAGTATCAGCTTCACCACCACCCCTGATGCTGGGATCCACGCAGAGACCACTGTGCTGTATTTTCTGAAAGAGCAAGAAAAAACATAATAGAGTAAGCTTTGCTTTCTTATGTCTTTCTGCTCAGAAGTAAGTATATTTAGCTGGTGGCCTTTCTTGATGTCTGTTAGCTTGGACGCACTGGTAAACCAGGACATCAGAGATGGAGGGCAACACTTCCTTTTGTTACCAAGTAAGCGGGTGTCGTAACAATATACAACCTGTGAAAGTTTCTCTAAAGGAAGGCATCTGGCTTAAGGCCCAAACCATTGGATGCCTGATTTTTTTTTCAGGAATGGAAGCAAAGTCAGGATTGGACATAGTTCTTACCGCTGTATTTTCCTGATTTCCTCTCTCTACTGTCAGCAATAACTAAAGGATTAATCGTTTTTGTTTTCTTCTTCCTAATGTGTTAACAGCAGCGATGCTTTATTCTGGTCCACAAAAGGGAAAAACAAAGAGAGTGATGGAGATGCTGTTGGAAGTGTGAGCAGGAAT